CATGGAAAAGAAAGAAAACAAATATGTATTGAAGTTGCAGTGTTAAACATAAAATGTCAACACATCCCATGAAAAGACCAAAACCAATAATGTATTGATCCTATACTAACACGTATCGTCTGTGTAGCAAAGGTCTAATAAAGCTTATTTCCCCTTTGTTGTCCAAAAGATACTAAAAGCACATCAATGAGTCACACTTTTGCACTGGTTTCTATTTTTCCTTCACTAAACTTGGGCACAGTTTTAAGTCCCTCTCACATACAGTACATCGTCCTTCTACGTTAAATACTCACTGGAGCACCAAATGTACATTTATCCGCTGCTAAAAATAGCCCCAACAGATGCTGTTTCATTAACATTCGTTAAAAACTATAGTGCCCATCCATCTCTTTTAGTAAATTACTGTAACTTTATTTTACAGGTCTCAAAGGTTACTTAAAACAAAATGATGTAATGATGTGTCAGAGGAAGGTGCCCGGAAAAGTAATTTGGTACTACCGACATTGTTCATGTGGTACATTTGCAATTATTTTTTTTCAATTATTTCCAATTGCAACCTAAATAATCTTTCTGTTTTTGTTTTCATAGTATAATGTCAACCTTTTTCTTTTCTTGGCCAAAATACCAATATATTATTGTCACATTAATTATGATAACTTATGACATCACTGTGAAGGCAAATGGTAGCTTCCATCACATCCTGGTTGCTAATGAGTGCTTGTGTTTCAAAAACTAGACCATATTTCCCATGAATGACATTATTTCCATTTACACAGTCAGTTACCACTTGTACTGATTGTACTGGCAGAATAGTGGCCCTTCTGAGGGAGCAACGTCCCATTCTGTCATAAAACTTTTCACCAGATTTAATCTTAAAGTGTCTGCCATTAACAACATCAAAACACACACACATTTAAAGACACTTTGTGCCCCACTTTAGGGAATAAGAAGCAAGCATGGGGTGGGAAAATAGAAAAAGAGAAAGATGAACCCGTGGTTTATAAATGTTTAACGAGTGCAGACAGAGGAGATGAGGGCTGCGAGGAGGAGGAAGAGGAGGAGGAGGAAGACAGAAAGAAAAATGATGAGGTGAAAAAGGAAGACAATATCAGAAAGAATTGGTGGGGAGCAAAATGGGGGGTTTGTAGAGGGAGGGAGGTGGAAAACAGTCCCATTATAGAAGCAGACACCAGAGCAAGGTTAGAAAATAGCAGAGAGTGGGGAGAGAGCCAGAGATTGAGAAAAAACGACTGTAATTGGAGGTGTCTGGTGTTTGTCTAACGCAGAGAGGCTAGTAATGATTCCATTAGCGCCTCACACCAATAGAGAGAGAGACAGACAGACAGAGACAGGGACACTGAGCGAGAGACAGAGCGGGATAGAGAAAGAGAGTGGGAGTCAGAGGGAGAGAAGTAGACACATGTGACACAGAGACAAAAAGAGGAGCCTAGAGAGGCCAAAACACAACGAGAAGATTCACACAGAACACCAGAGCAAGAAAACAATGAGCATCAGAGCAGCTAAATAGTGAAAACTGGAATTTCCACCCCACGGTTGTATGCCCCCACCAACCAGTCGATTCAAAATTCAGAATGAGGCAGGAAGTGAAAGGCAGAATGGACGAAAGCCTGTACTGTGCTAGTCATTGTTTACTCATTATGTCGTCCCAGTCAACATGTGTGTAATCTGGAATTCATTCTTAAATTATGGCTAAAAACCTATTTGAGGTCACAATGACCTTTAATCTTTGAGTCAAAAGTGTCACCTATTCAGTGACTGACCAACAGTGAAATATAGTCACAATCTCCCCTTCTGTTGCTGAGGTATGGTGTTGAATAATAGCTAAAAAAAAATAGGGCACTATGATGTCACAGTGAAGTTGACCTTTTGGGTAAAAAAGTTTCTTATTTCTTATTAAACATCTGTGTGAAATGTTGTCATGATTCCTATATTAATTACTGAGTTAGGGCCAAAAACATGTTTGAGGTCACAGTGACCTTAACCTTTGAGTCAAAAGTGCCACCAATTCATTGTCTGACCAAGTGTGAAACATGGTCATCAATTCTTGAGTTGTGGCCAAATATGTGTTTTGGGAGGTCACAGTGACCTTGACCTTTGACAACCAAATTCAAAACAGTTCATCCTTGAGTCCAAGTGGACGTTTGTGCCAAATTTGAAGAGATTCCTTTCAGGCGTTACTGAGACATAATGCCTCCAGCCACGGTTATCGCTGGCACTGAGGCATAAAAAGAATGAAAGCAACCATACACAAAAAGAACATGAGAAAGGGAATCCAAGGCATCCATTAAAAGGCTTGTTCACCTGCATGATGATGATAATTACAAATGCCCCTCCAGTCCTTTTTCCAGCTCTCTCTCCCCCACCTCACCTCTTCATCTTTTGTGTGACAGCAAACGAGAGAGGATGATTTAAATGCATTAGCTGAGTGTGTTTTCCCTATGGAAGACCTCCAGACTGTGTCAGGGCAGGCACCTTTTGTTTGGAGCTGACGCAGAGCGCTGAGAGGACTCTTTAAAAGCCTGGCCCCTGTTCTCTCAGGGACACATTAAAGCACAACACAGTGGGTTGTTGTACTTCTCTGTGTCCTCTCATATCTTTGTTAAAAGCAGTCTGATTACAGATTCAGTTACATTAGTTGGCTAAGTGAAATTTTGACAAGGAAAAAGGAACAATATCAGAATGGAAGCACATGGAAGCTGGCAAAATAGTGCAGGCGCCAACATCATTTTAACAAAAGAAAGCTGGTTCATATGAGATATGTTGGACTGACATACGTGGGACAGCAAATTATCCTGCTGTATGAGGAGGAAATTTCATTGCTATGCAAATCCCTCCCAAGATCCCACAAAAATGTTTTTCCTAATACTGAGTAGGTGGCGCAGACAACCCTGCGGAAAAGAAGCTTCAATTCACCACGAAGGAATTAGAATCTATTGGAAAATGCTAGTTGATTGTTTCTGGAATAATTGCTACACCAGAAAATGTGACTTGAAAAACCAAACCAAGCACCTTTTCTTTCTGTGTTGAAGACACTGGACACCTGTTTTGCCTTCACACACACACACACACACACGCACAAGAGCACATTCGTCCATACCTGCATTGACCCTAACTTATTAGACAAGGGACACATATATTTCCTGACCTCTGGCCTCAGACTGTCAAGAGTCCATCATTACCTCAACCCACAATTACAGCACAGATACACTTACACAAACACACACACACACACACACACAAGCATGCTGTTATTGAGTTAAAGCTTGCTTGTTAAATGCGCTTACATTGCTCTACATATTCTCTCCGGAGTGATATGACTCAGGGAGCAGACTGATGAGGTCATAGAGATCACTGAGGTCAACCGCTTTGCTGCTTCAGACTGACTTTAAACAAAGGTTCAACATAGGGAATGTGAACTACACAATGTACGTAGAGAAATCATTTGAAAACCTGTCAGTGAGATCACCTGTCAAATAACCACAATCATTTTACAAGACAGGCATGTAGCTCAACAGTCTGAGTATCATGATTGAGATACAGCCAGAGTTCTGCCACAATCTGTGCACATTACCAGCCTGGAAACTGCAGAGTACAACTTCTGTTCTTATTCACTTGTCTCTAAGGCCCAACTGCCAGGTTTTCCGAGCGTCTTGGCTGCTGCTTCTCCAAAGCAACTGAAATTGCATTATGTGCACCAATTTCCAAGTTTGCAATGATGAATATCTATGATTCCATTTTCTTTTTTCATGGAGAAATTAGGCCCGTGGGGACAGGTGAGGGTGTGAGTCTGATGCAGCTCGCGCTCTCAAATGCAGGCACACACAGTATGTACACACACACATACTGCACACACCATCTGTGGAGTTTTATGATTCAATAATCTCCTTCCTAAGGCATACCTACAACACACACACAAACATCAATAAGCATTTTCTCTCACACACTCATACAGCTCTTCCCTACTCAGCAGGGAAAATGAGATATTCAGCTCTAACAAACACTCAAAAAAAAGGAAATGCCTTAAAGCAACTGCTACCCTTTTCTGTGCAAGAACTGTCCTGTCCTTGTTGGGAGCTGTATAAAAGTTACTCTGATTGATGACGCCCACACTGACACACACACACACACACACACGTTGCACACAGATACACACAAGAGCATCAGTAACCTAAATACACAGAGTAATTGTCATTCCATCCTCAGTTGTGCAGGAGTATTCATGGGGTGCCAAAATGCTGCTGCGCACCCTCTTTCAGCGACGACACACAGGTGTGCACAGATGCACACACACATATTTACACATCGCATATTCACGTCGTTCAGAGCAGAATCGATATGATGGCTGTGTTTTCTTTAGAACTAGAGATGAAATGATCGATCAGCCGGTGACTGGAATCGGCCACTTTTCAGCCTCATCGGCCACAATTGGTCACCGGGCTGATCAGTCTTACATATTCGATCCTGTGCCGGTCAAGTTTACATGCATGCTGCGAACAGAAATAGGGTAATATATTCTTTCAAATAAAATATACAAATATACTCCAGGAAGAATAACCAATGATTATGCTGGCACTAATGAGGCTCCTAATAAAGAAATAAAAAAAGAATTTTCTAGTAAAGAAAAGTTACAAAAATATTTACGTTTGCTGTCAATTGTAGCTCTTAGAAACAAAGAAAAACATTTAAATGCTGTAGAGGAATCTCACATGTCATACTTTGACACTCAGGTTTCTTTCATATCAGAAGACCTTTATGAGAACTTTGAACACAGTGATACACTACACTATCAACTGTAGTGTAAATTGTGCTATTATATAATCACTGATGTACGCATAAGCATGAAAGCAAATACATGACAGCACCTTTCTCTTTCTTGCTTTCTAAATTTGTCCTTCTCTGTCTCTCTTTCTATTTCTCACACACATAAACACTTATAAATACACCCACACGTGACCCCCCTGGACCCCCACCCCACTCACGTTGGCAGACGTCCTTGTTCTCCTCAAAGCCCGGTTTGCACACACACCTCCCGATAGGAACCAGCCAGCCTCCGTCTGCGCTGCAGTACATCTTGGGAGCCTCAAACTCCTCAGAGGCATTTACACACACACCGTGGACCTCCACCAGTGCTGTGTCTCCGCCTGTTATTGTGTCGGGGAACTGGGCCAAGTTAAGCACAGTGAGGGGACACTTCTTGTAGAAGACTCTGACTGAGACCAGAGCGATACAGGCGCCCAGGTCCTGGAAGGCCAGGTAGAAACCCTTTTTACTTAGGTTGCTGATTTCACGCACCTCCGTGTTCAGCTTCATCACACGGTCTCCAACGTCCACCTGTGGACAAAGGACATTTTATATGTCTTAGTTCATTTGAATGGGAGCATTTTTCATTTTTTCATCATTTATTTTGGTAAAATGTTGCTGCCTGAAACTCAGCGACTGCATTTCCAAGACCAAAATAATAATGTCCTCCTGACAATTTTGCAAGCAAATGGAATACGATAACTAAGTTTAAAAAATTCCCCACATTGAGATTTGTTTTCAAAGAGTAGGTGTCAAACAGTGACTATCTAATTTTGGAATGAAACTCTTCTATTAGAGAATCAGATGGCCATATACAAACAGCTTAATGCTAAAATCAATATAAAATCAGTTTAGAAAACAGAGAGATATGAGATGAGAGATAGCCAAAGCACAGCTGCAATTGGAAATACTGATTCATTTTTGTCACTGTTTTTTTTTTCTTTTAAAGAGGGGGAAGGAGAGTATAAATCTTGATTGAAGACAAACAAAAAATTGGGCAGATATGAACTGGTCACATTCACTTCAATGATAGCTACGAGGTCATTTGGAAATCTTTATTTATTTGTCGCATTATTATCTATTACATAATGCCCTGTTTTATTTTTTGTATGTATACCTAATGTGTATCTTTATTATATATGCAGCACATGTAAGTGCCTATGTGTACTTATGCTATATGAGTGTTTTTTTTTTGTTTGTTTGTGTGGGGACTCGCCTTTCTTTTGGGGACAAAATGCAAGTCCGGGTAGGGTAAGGGTTAGTCTCCAGGAAATTAATGTAAGTCAGTGTAATGTCCAATGTGTGTGTGTGTGTGTGTCCATACCTGTGTAAAACTCTCATCTGCAGCTATAGTATCGATCTTGACATACTGGCTTTCCTTGATGAACCACATTTTGTCAGTGTTGGACTCATGGTAGTACATGTTGAATGTCTGCAAAACAAACAGTATTTCACCTTTCAGACTCTAGAAATGTATATTATCAGACACAAGAATAAAACACAGTAAAGGTAGACAGTTAAAAGTGAGAAAGTCCATCCAATGTGAAATTTAACAAGGCATAGCTCTCCAGTTATTCTGCTGCTTCTCTTCAAATCTCAGTCCATCTGTCTCGATGGCCAGTCAGCAACACTGTCTGCAGTTTCACGAAAGTGCAGCTCTATACTGTCTCATACAGTATTATCTCCACTAGTCATTCTGGAGATGTAATGAGAATGAAAAGGGTGCAGAGGGCAGACAAAGTAGACAGAAATGAATACAGAGGAGCAGTGATATCAGGCTGATATGAGAGAATGGGGGACAGTAAAAAAATATATCAGATGTTAAAATATACGAGGAGCCACTAAAGAAGCCTCTAGAACATCTGTTTCAATCCGCAGCTTTTCTCTCATGTCAGTCTTTTCCCGCTTCTCATCTGTTTATGTATTCATCAGCCATCAAAGTGAACTTCCATCTGTGTGTGTTGTATGTGTGTGTATTGAATGTAAAAAGACTGAAAGATTAAATCATTAAAAAATACATAAAATGGTATTTTGCTGCTCTGCAGTGTAAAGCAGTATTATGTGCATAATAACAATGGTGGAAATGGGGGGAACGCCGTTCCATGAGTAGAAGTCAGAAGGGAACGGCATTCATGCTCAGATTTCAAAAATATATCGCTTATTGCTGTTTTACACTGTTTCTAAAGCGTGTTCATGAAACAAATATAATATATTGTGCTTGAATGCACCACAAATCCTGCTACTGCCCATACAGCCAATGGGAAGGCGTGACATTGCCGGGTCCTTGGAACCAGTCCCCAAAACATTGTCTTTGCTCTCGGCTACAGGTGACCCATTAAAACAAAACAACGCAGTAAACTCACTATTGACGCACCCTATTTTCGCTACATTGTGAACAACAAATCCGTGTTAAAAGTCCTGCTTTCTGAGAGCTTCTACACAAAGACACATGTAGCATTGTTGTTGTAAATGTCGTTGTTGCTGCACTAGAAACATTAAGTATATTCAGTCCTAATTCTGTTCTGAATGTATGTTTTTAACAATTTTTTAAAAAAGCACTTTTAGTAGTGAAAAAGAACAAATACGAGTACTAATAAAGAGCTGAACCGATAAGAGTAGTAGTATCAATAAAATCCTAACAATACCCATCTCTAAACACCACACCACACATTATAATGGGGACCCACTTAATTTCCCTGGGACCCACTGAAATGACCACCTGTGCTTCCCAGGGACTCATTACACTGAAAACATATCACCATCACTGAAGCTGTTGAGAAACTCATCAAAATGGATGGTTGTGATTTGCTTTCTAATTTCCTCAAACACTGGTTTGACAGATCTACTCTAGTTAATGTAACATTAATACATTTATTAGTACTACTTGTTATTTGACAACTCTTGTGTTTATTGTTGCTGTTGAAGAGGAGAGGAGACAGAGGGAGATCAGCAGAGTAGGAGGATATGTTTTTTGGAAGCTGAATAATCAGTAGATCTCTGCAGTCTTTGTAAGTAACTTTAGTAAGATATTGTTGTAGCTCTCATGATAATAACCCAATAACCCAATATCATATTCCCTATGACCTGACTTTTCATTTCAAGTAGCTGTGAAAACTGCCTTTGTGCACTTCATATACAAAAAATTATATATTTTTTTAATTTATGTTGAACCTTGTCTAAGAACAAAAATTTAATTTCTAGTGGTCCTTCTCTAAATTCCTGCTTGCTTCTCGTACTCGTCTCGAGTGTCTGGATTTTCTGCAGAAATAAAAGGAATCTGCAAAAGCAAACAATACGGCATAATTATATCAGATAAAGTATGAAGGTGAGGCAGGGTCAATTGAAAATGCAGAAAAGTGTTATTAAAGTTAATTTGCTGATTTAGTTGATTAGCTAAGCACACGAAAAAAAGTGGCGATTGCGTGTGCCGTAGGGTGAATTTGTTCCAATTTGTGATCGTCCTAATTTGTTTTCTTAATTAATCTACCATTTTCATGAAAAATACAATATGTATATACTAAGTTAGATATACATTTGAGAAGTGAAAGACATACTGAATGTATTATAGTTAACTCAATTTTATCAAGGAGTCCTCCACAGAAAATATTTTGTAGCTTTGCAGAAAAACCCCAGACTCCTATTTCTGCCTCCACCATGTACCAAATTAAACTCACTCCTGTGCTATTGATCTCCAAAACAGAAGTGTGTCTTTTTTACTTGCTTGCCTCCAAAATAAATTCACAGATACACAGCAGCACCAATGGAGCTGGTCAAAATTCAGTGTCTTGCTCACCAAGAGTGAACAAACAAGCAGCACAAATTCAACACAGGGGCTTAAACACACACAGGTCATTTGTGATCTGCCACCATACTGTTTGTGTGTTCAAAAGCTTGCATGTGTATTATGTGTGTGTGTGTGTGTATGTGTGTGTGGTGTCGGGGTTGGGGGGGTGAAGTGATGCAGACCTCTTTGCAGGTACCGGGGACCCCGGGCAGGCTGTTACAGTCCCTCAGGGTGAACTTGATCTCAATGTGGACGCGCTGTGCTCCTTCTCGGCTGATGTGACCCGTCCTCAGCCAGTTGTTCTGGTTGGCCTCCATGACATTACACACCTGGTAGGTCCGCATTGGGGTGTTCCTCTCATCCATCACACTGATCTCCTCCCACTGTGGATGAGAAATAGGAGGTTTAGAGGGAAACCAAAAAAGCAGGTCTACTAAATGCAAAGCTGTATATTTTATGCTTGCAACATGACATTTCTGATTGGATTTAGCATCTTCCACATTTATCAGATGACTTTTTTTAAGATGGAGAGCAAAAGAAAGCAACTAGATGAAGGGAAGGAAAAAGACAGAAATCAGAGATTGAGGATGATTGAGAAGGTGAGAGGAGGGTGGGAAAAGGAGAAGAAAGGAGCAAAGAATAAAGAGGGGAAAGAGAAGCAAAAGAAAGGGTTGAAGGGGGATTTATGGGTGAGAAAGGAGAAAGGAAAGGAGAGTGCAAAAGAGAGAGGTGAGGCCTGCTGAGGAGTGTTTGCATTGACGGGGGAAATCCTTGCAACTAAAACATACATTTCAAATCAAAGACTAAGTGGACGTGCAGCCAGGGTAGAGTGACGTTCAGCAGCACAGTGCCGGCTTGACAACAGCACCACTCAGCTGTAAGATTGTCTTATTTCATCACTAGTCAATGGACAAAGGAGATCTCAGTACAAAGATTGCTTATGGGAAACTGGGCCCAAGTTCAATGAACTGTGGTTTCATGCAAACCAACGCTAAGCCTGCATGTTCTGTTTTCATGTCTGGGTGAATATGAGTGATGATCTGTGTCAAGATGACTGAAGGACTGTCTTTGTCTATGCCGCACGTGTGCATAGAGTGAGCATGTTTTTCTAAAGTGAATGCGCGATTTAGCGCTTAAGAGGTGGAGGTATGTGTATGAGAGAGACACAGAGCGAGAAAGAGGGAAAGGGAGCGCGAGAAGGAGTAGGTAGGACAGAGCTACTTTGTCTCCCGTCATCTGCTACCATCTGTTTCCACTTCTAACTAAGGCAGTAATTGAGAACACTTCTCGCATGAGCAGGAAAACATTTCTATCAACACACACACACACACACACACACACGCATAAACCGTTATGCGTGCACAGAGAAAGAACATTTCTATTCCTTAAAGAAAAGGAAAATAAACCAATGTGGTTTCAGTGTCTCAAGATATCTGATCCATTCATGGGGAAGCTAACTGGATTTTCTTGGACACACACAGACAGACATATGCAAAAACACACACATGCAAACTGGTTTCTAGTTTGTGGTAAGGGATGAGAGGACCACCATCTTTGTTCTGAGCTCATGTCGTCATCTTTAAGACTGAAGCTGTAATCTCTAGAGTGATGAGCACATATCACCTAACAGTAGCCCAACCATGTAAACACAAACCTTGATACATACGCACAAGCGTGGGCGCAGACTGTATACACACACACTCACATGTGCGTACACACATGTCCACACCAAGACCCACAGGAGTAACTACCTGTCATCCCTAGCGTGTCCTTAAATTCAAATGAAAGTTGAATGGTAGATGTAATGAGAAGTGAAGAGAAAGAAAGGCCAATAAAAGGCAAAGAAAGCAACAAAAGAAAAGGCAAAGAGAAACTTTTAGACGATCGGAGGCCGGGCTAAGGTTGGATTCTTGAGGTTAATCTAATGTGACGGCCCAACATCCCGGCAAAAGCTTGACGCATTTCACCTCAGAGTCCTGAGCACTAAAACAGATCCACATAAAAAAACCACACATTCTCACACAGACTCACACACCCTCTCCAGCTCCCTCCTCACACTCAGATGCTTTTAATCTCCACAGCCTCCGCTGAAACGTCTACTGTGTATGAATTGGAGCTCAAACAAAACTAGCTCTCTCTTGATTGTGACCCAACAGTCCTTCAAGTACAGAGACAGAGAGAAGGAATGGGAGAAGAAAGAAGAGGAGAGAGAAAACTGTTTAAGCTGTGGAAGTCATCTGACATAAACGTCCCTGACAAGAGTTTTACATGTAAAGGACGTGTCACTGGAGTCTTGTACGACATTTTGTGCACACAACAACTCAGAGTCATTGTGATTGACTACATTCGATTCAAATAAAAGGGGGTAAAAGCAATACAGAGAGAGAAAGCAAGAGAGGAGAGAGAGGAGTCAATGTTGGTAAATTACAGGCACGCCTGGCAGCTAAATAGACCCATCTGTGCAGAGCTGAGACCAGTCGGACATCACAGGACGGTCGCATACACCCACCCACACACAAACACACACACAAACACACAAAGCTGAGTCCCCAGGGAGTGGTGATTAAAGCATTTATGGGAATAGTCATTGAGGGATAAAGAGGGCTTTATGATGTCTTTGTTTATTTCTTTGTAGGCAGAGTTTGGAGTGGCTGGATTACAGCCACTTCCTGGTGAGCCACTTATTTCCCTGGTTGGCGAGTCTGTTCATTGTCACTTTTGCCTGGTGTAAAGCACAGGTGTGCTTTGGAACGTTAAAAACAACCTGCTCGCATCCATATTTGCTAATGATACACCAGCCACTCGAGAGAAAATCTACTAAAAACACAACTGGGAAAATGTTTGGATAGGCTGAAGAGTTTAAGCTCTGATTCTTTCTTACTCCATAAACACACCCACGCACGCATATAAAGTGAAAACTGTTGCTTGTGTCGGTTCAGTCTGAACACTAATTAACATTCAGAATGAAACCCTCCTCCCTGAACCCTCAATCACCTCAGCCAATCAGCATGGAGCCCGCTTGATTGCTTTGAAGTGAAGCAGAGATGTCGGATCAGGGTTTAAGTTCAACCGTTCCCCAGCTTAACATAATATTCCCCCTTCTGCAATCATCTGATGGGTACACCTACGAGGACATAATTGGCCTCCAAACTCTGGGACAAGCCCTGGCTTAGTGAGGGGGACAGAGAAGGAGAGTTGGGGGAGGGAGGACGAAGAGAGAGGAGGGAGGAGTAATGAGGGCTGAGGAGCCACTGGGGGAGTAGAGATGCTGTGGGGGCCTCTCATTTTTAAACATCATTAAGACGTATCTGTTTTGTGTCCCTCACGAGGAACAACCCCGACCGGTGACAGAAGTGGGTCGCTCCACGCAGTCTCAGGCACATCCGGCCCTGCACGGCTTGGATTATGTGTGACCTGTGGGGGTCAAGTGTGGTTTTAGACTAATTCAGTTAGACAGTGGTCTCAGATTGGTGGGAATTGCCCCTCACTGAGACCAATTCCAAGTTAAAGTTTGAAGGTCAACTAGATAATCCCTCTGATATGAAACATAAGACCTCCTCACAGCCTTAGCACCTTTCTCCTCTCAGTCTCTCACTCTCTATCACTTTTCCTCTCCTTAATAAATCATTACCACATTCATTCGGACACAAATGCATCATTATCTTGCCAACAGGATTGGCAGCCTCTACTAGTCTCTGTTATTGCTTTTTATGATGTATGCCACTAGCTTAGATTAACTAGATTGTTTTATGGCAGAAAAAGGGAATAGAAAGACTTTTATTACACAATAAAAAAGGTTCCCTTCTGTCCAGGAAAGTCTAGTAGAAGCATCTTGTCTTGCAAGAAGCATTTAGCTTCACACAGCTTCACCAAACTACATCCTGCAAGAATGATCCCCTGATGCTTTTTTTATACAGGTTGGAATGCTCGTGCCGAGCTGGCCCGTGAGGTACTGCAAAAATTCAAGCTGTGTTGGTAGCTTGATGACATGTTAGAGAAACCGCAGTAAGAGCTTGTCATCTAATAGCTCACTCTTTCTGCTTACTTCTCCCTGCAATATTTAAAAACTGAATAAATAGCGCAGAATATGTCCATGTCTTATTGCATAGACCTGTTTAACTAACTGACTGGCAAAGACACTGCATTTCCTATAGGTGCTTCACAATAAAAGCATGCGACTATCCTCTGCTTGAGGATGCAAGGGGAAATGTTTACGCTTGGAAAAGGTGTGTGATGATTAAAACGGATTACATGCCCATGTAAACCCAGCAGGTACAGTATGTGTCAGGCCAATCAGCAGGCAGGGATGTGAGCAGAGGATGACGTAACTTGCTCTTGTTTCACAACGACAGATATAACAACAGAAACACTTAATATTGATTGCATGCTGTCAATATTTATAGCTTTTGTCACAATTAAAATTGGCAATGATGTTTAAAAATGTGTACACACAGAATCTTTTTTTCTTTCCTTTCAGTTCACCTTTTCTTGTTTGTTTGTGTTTTTGTGCCAGCTGCACTTGCTTTGTTTTGCTGTACGCCCATGTGCCTTCCAGCTGTTAAACAGAAACAAAATTTTTGTTTTATGGCATTGTTAACCGTGCCTATTTTAAGAGGCAGCTATTTATTTCATACAATTTAGGCTTCCACATTTGTCTTTTTAACTGACAAAGACTAGAAAAAGAAACAGAGCGAGGAGGATCATGTTTATACAGGAGGAAGATAATATCGCCTTCATGTACCAATTCAACTCAGTTTTATTTATATAGCGCCAAGTACCACAAGACTAAATAAGAACAACCAGCTTTAACCAATTTAATCATTTCCTTGGTCAGATAAAGCAGCTGATAGAGCTTGTGCCTGACCCAAAAGTAAAGAAACTCAAAGAAAACACTTGTTTTAACAATGTCTCGGTTGATAATGTGTTATCTAGGATCTCTTTGTAGTATTTATTTGACAGAGGAGTTGTGTGGATGGCCGCAGAGCCAGGTTCATTCAGAGAGGAGATGCCAGATACCCACTATGTTGACAGTACATGAAAAATGATATGCCGGATGGAGTTTATTATATATATTTGATTTCAAGGCAACACATTTCTTTGAGCGTAAACTAGTTACATATGTGCTATTGGGGGCCACGATTAAGCCACCCCAAACTGAACCATATTGTCAGTAAAAGTAACTTGTGTACTCTTTGATTTTCAGAATTAGATTGAACCTTTTGGCTTAGCCACATATGGAGCACATTCTCTTTTTCTATCTGGGACCTCAGTGAAAAAAGACACACAAACATCCGCAATATGGCCATACAATCAGAGCATTTCAATAAAGTGAACTTGATACCCTTGCTTGCTTGAGAAAACAACCTTGCTCAGCTTTGCTCACTTCAGCTGCCTCTCTGCTGCGCACAACCATGAAACCGCGTGTGGCATCCTGCAATTTAACACACTGATGCTGAATAGTGGAGAGGAAGTGTGACTCAAGGGGAAATAGAATTAATTCAGTGCCATTCAACAGCTCCTGCGGTAGAGTGACATACAGAACCCGCTCTTATTTCTTTATTGAATGCACCTCGTTCTTTTTCCTCTCTACCCTCTCTACCCTCTTCCTATCCTCTCACATCTCTGTTGTCATTCTCTGATGCATGATGTCTGTACTCCAGACTCCCTCGGTCCCTATACCTGCAAAAGGCTAGTTACGCAACCCCCACATACACATACACACACACATACACACGTAAATAACACCAACATTCACACATCCTTTTACATAAGAATATTTACCCCTCCACCCCATCTCTTCACTGCATCCTGAAAGTCGCAACCCGTAATAAATGGAGGCTCCAGTGCCACAGCGTATTCAGTGCAGCAGAAATAATTTGTAATTCCCCCTGCAGACTCCCGATTTAGCAAAGAGCGCTCAAGAAACCAGTGCTCTCTAAAACACATACTCCATTGCTGCTGCTAGCTCCGAGTCCCTGCTCATTCTCTGAAAATAAAACATGTCAACACAACCTGCTAGTTGTTATCAGATGTGTTCTTTTGGTGCCAGCTCCGGCACAAAGAGAGGATATTTTTTGTTTGTGTATGTGTGTGTGTGTGTGTGTGTGTGTTGCGTATACTCACCCCCTCGTTAGGGAAAGCCTGCCAGCCCAGGTCAGCCAATGCTGACATTGAGTCCAGCAACGTAACTGCAGGAACACAAAGGAGAGAGAACAAACATTTTAACACACATACTGAGGAAATCATTTCTCAATCCCCCTTTACATAAAAGAGCAATAATGTTTTCCATATACAGTGTGGTAATACTGCTGTATTGAAATCTTCACATAAGATCATATTGCATCCTAAACCTCCCATATAAAAAATTCCAAGATGTTTTCATGTTGTTATACAAGGGTGTCTTTTGTTGTGTCGGAATGAAATCATAAGCAGTGGTAAACCTATAATTTCATCTGTGGTTGTGCTGAAACAGTATCAAGATAGCAAGAGTATACTTTACAGTTACATTTACATTTCAGACATTAAAGTGACACTTCACCCAATGCTTCTGTTCAGCCACTCACTCGGCCTAAGAAATGGCTGTTGGACATTTGAAGCTTGTGTTATTTAAGGAGAAAGGATGCTGTGGTCAAGTTGTGGTTCAAAGTGGTTACAATGGATTTTCAATGTTTTCATGCCACATAAAACATATCAAAATGTTTCCAAATCTTCTCAAACCACACCTGCACCATAATAGTCTACTTTGCTGTTCATCTCAGGATAAATCACATTTTTGCCAATATATGGCTAAGCTGCTTGTGTCATAATACTCATCACCCTGTCAAGCCCAAGCAGGTGTTTTTGTGTTTTGGCACAAATTAGAGCAGGAGACTCCGGTCCGTATCGCTTTATCCAAGCTCAATCATTGGCTAGAACAGAATTATACAGCGGGGGAGATTTCAGAAGTTTCTGTGAACATTTCCCTTTTTTTTTTCAAACTGTAGTCACTATTGAAATCCAAACTGAATGATTTGAATCCAAGCTCATAACAATATTATATTCTTTCAAAGGTCATTTCAATTACAAAAACTTTATCATTTACACTATGCATAGAGACTTTATAAGGTCTCTGAGATTTCTGACACCAAAATCTAATGAAGGTGAATGGTTTTCTGTTTGTGGTACTCAAAGAAAACGAAAAACAAAAATTGCATTCAACAAATTAAAGTATTCTGTTTTGTCCTGGTTACCTTTCTGTGAACACTACTGACGACTCTACCGAAGAAATAGTCCCCATAAAAACTGCTGACAACATGGTCTGGATATTCCAGACATTGTTTCTGAAGATGGATATCTGAAAACCTGGGCTTATAAAACTAAAACTCTCTCCATGTCTGGATAACACGATATGTGAGAAAATATGTGTTTTTGTCATTTGGGTGGTGAACCAACCTTTGCAACAAGTGAACTGCAAATATCTTACTAACAACTTTCAAGCAAAAAAAGTGTTTAATACTGTGATTTCAATTCTACAACGATTTTGTTTTAGTGTCACTTTAATAGAAAAATGTCAAAGGACAAAGTGCAACAGCAGGGTGATTGTACATTCGACTCTGAATTAGCACATGCTGTTTCCTGTGTGTGATCGCTGTGTGACAGGAGGAACCGGTGGGAGGATGTAGGAAGGTGAGAATGAAAAGTGAAGAGAGGAAGGTGGCAGGTTGATCAGCAGGAGAGCATAACGAAAACCTGCTCAGATTCTGGACCAAGGTTCTCTACCTGTGTGTGTCCCTTGTTAGTGTGTGTTTGTGTGTGTAGGTGTGTGCTTGTTAAGGGCTTGGCTCAGTCAGGTCCTAATCAAGCCTTCAACAACGCTGACCATCAATATTTAATCAGTATCCATCTGCGGAGACTGCTGCCTCTCTCTTTCTTCTCCTACTCGGTCACACACATTGTGGCTTTCTCAGGTTATCCTCGCTCTATCAAAATCTTTGACACTATACTTTCAATCCAAAGATCCAAGATCAGACGCATGAGTCGCTGACCTGACACAATTTAAACTGACTGCATTACTTTAAAGCAGCACACTTTCATATTCCCTCCAATTTTGATATGCAGTGACCTGGGGAAAAAACCTATTCCAAAGTAAAAAGAAAACAGAGTTTGCCCCCCTGAATGCAAATGAGACTAATCACTCAATAGAAGAGGGTTGAAAGTGCCTGTTTACAAGCCCCTCTGTGCATCCATACTGCCCGTAGGTGTAACAAAGGGACTGTAAAATTGGTCCAACCTCCTCTTTTCCTATCTTTCCCTCTCTTTCTCTTCCTATTGCAGTCATGCTGTTCATCAGCCCTTACTGAAAGCCCAACCTCAGCTCAGCACACACACGTGACAGCAGGGAGGCACGTCATGCTGTATTACTGAGTCTATGTGTGCATACGCGCGTGACACGGCACACACACATCCGCGTGTGTCTGCACTCACTCGCTAAACAGCAGCGTCTGCGTGAGAAAACAGCCACAGAGAGGACAGTGCACGTTGTATAATGAAGCAGGGAGAGAGGCTGCACAGCAGAGCCTAGGTGAGAGAGTGAGAGCGAGGTGGATTAAATGAGAGGGATGAGACACAAACAGCGGAGGAGAGGTGCTGAGTAGCGAAAGGTCAGAGGCAGCCTCCAGTGTGTGTATTCACAGAGACTAAAGACCATTTAGACTGCTTTCCTCAGTTCATGGGCATTTGAGTAGCGTGCAAAAATAGGACATAATAGTATAATAATATGTGATTTCAGGACCCAGAAGCGCACACACGCACTTCCTCTCACACACACTCATATATCTGCTCAGCGATAAAAGCTACCTATCAACAACATTCCTGGAATTTTGCACAATTGTGTGTTTCACATACAGTCCAATGATATTCACTGTGACTCACCTACTGTAATACCCTTTCATGTGTTTCACAGAGAGTTTAACTGAGTCTAAGCTTGATAAATTAAAGTGCCAGTTCAGCCAAATTACAAACATATTCTCTCACTTACCCCCACTGGTTTCTAGGCTTACAGATAGTTTAAGCAGCCAACCCAATACAATACGGGTGAGTGGAATTTTTTGTGTTTCACATAATCCCACTGAAATTCAGTATCAGTGTGTATTTACTAGAAATAATGTCCTGGTTACTCTGTCTGCATAATACATATGTGTTCTGTGGAATATCCTGTGGAGTAAAGAAAATGACCGTCTGTGTGTCTGTTTGTGTTCTGATCTGACCTCAAAACTCACCAAGAACTCCAGTTCTCTGGGGCATTTTCTTCCAGTCTTTCTGTATGTTTATGAAGTGCAAATTTTCCACTGAACATTTCCAACTCTCACATCTCAGTTTATGTTCTAAAAGATATTTGGTGCTCAATCTTTTAAAGGAATGGGTCTATGCTTAAGGAAAAATGGTTGTTCGCTTTCTGTTGGACAGATGGATGGGTGGCTCATGAAGTTCATTAACACGTTATAACAAGGACGTTATGTTCATTTAGTCCGTACACAAACAAATATAAGGCAAGTTATAGGGTTAGTTGCATATACTTTTAGGTAGGCTAATCGCCTCCTCACACTTCACACAACAGGTGTACTGATCTTCTCACCTACCTCAGAGAGAAAGCGGATACGTGTTTTTGTGCTGGAGTCACTACCATGTAGAAACTTGCTTTAAGGTCCAGTAAGCTAATGTGTTTCTGGGGCCATTACATATTCTAAAGCCATTTTGCAGCCCACTGGGAAAACACACATACATTAACCTACACATCGACGCCATTTTTTCTTCTCCTCACACCTCCTGTCAATACCACTTATCACTTGTAATCAATGACTGGACTCATCAATTATGTATTAGCTATAGCCTATATAGCTTCCTGTCTACTGACATAGCCAGTTTTGCATATATGTATGTGTGTACACCTGCGTGTTTGTGTATAGATGAGAAATTGCAAAAATACATAGTTTTCTTCCCCAACCAAATCTGTCTCTACCCATCTCTGAGCTCCCACCCTGCCTCTCTCTCTCTCTCTCTCTCTCTCTCTCTCTCTCTTTCTCCAGGGAATTGGCAAAATTTTGTGTGTGTGAAATCTAAGCCTGCTTTGGGCTGAAATAGAAACACCAAGCTCATCACTCAGTCACTCAGGCCAGGCTCATGTTCAATCTAATGACCAGTCTCTCGCTCTCTTTTATACGCACTCATACACACACACACACAAAATATCATACCCACAGTGGAGCACCTTCCAAATTTGAGCACTCGGTGAAAACACCGAAACAAAAAACTATCTACTAGCATTCCCCAGCCTTTCTACCTGAAAATACCACTTCCACACACTAACAAATTTACTTGGGGACACACATTTTTTCCCCAAGCTTTTCTTCCCGGGGTATAAATGCACAGATCCATAAACATACACATGTGACCTGATTACTGTGAGAGTTGTTCGATTACAGAGAGACATGCTCTCTTATTGATTTTCAGCGCCAAACTGTGAGGTTTACATTCTGAGAGTGAAAAATGAGGAGGAAGTGGGGGTGGAGGGTGTGAAATTTGTAAATCAGGAATTCCTGTACAAATACTGTAATACGCTGAAACCGAAACTACAGTAGTAGAACCATGTGCGGAAAATAGATTTTCAATCGCTTTCCCTTTGTCTCCTCATCTCCTCCTGTGTCGGTCTATTGTTCTTCTCACTCTTGTTTCCCCCTCTGGGTTGTCTCTCTGTCTTCCTTTTTTTTTTTGGCTCCTTCTCTTTTTGTTAATGTCTCTCTGCCACTCTCTCTCTCTCTGGTCGGTATCCACTGCTTCAGCTGGGCTGCAAGAAGCTGTGATCCACCTGCCAAGAATCAAACGGTGCTGCCAACAGCCAGACTGGCACACAAAGAGCCCATGATGCTTACACACACACACACACACACACACACACACATAAAACTGACTCACACGCACTTCAGGATGGTGCCAGTGCCAGAAAGAGAAAGACTACTCAATAAGACCACCACACAGACTCAATATAGAGTACAATATGTGAATGCATAATGAGCTCATACAATCTTTTCAGCTCAAAACACAAAATATTACATTGGAAATGGTAGACGTGATATGAGTAAAGGGGCTGCTGACACTATATTCAACATGCTATGATACTACATGTACAAGCCTCACTGTTTTTCACTGACTT